GTACTGCGCCCTGTAGGCTGTACTGTGCCCTGTGCGTGTACGGCAGGCCGTACTGCGCCCTGTAGGCTGTGCCCTGTGCGTGTACGGCAGGCTGTACTGTGCCCTGACTGTACAGCAGGCCGTACCGCGTCCCACAGGCCGTACTGCGCCCTGTAGGCTGTGCCCTGCCCTGTCTGTACAGCAGGCCGTACTGTGCCCTGTAGGCTGTACTGTGCCCTGTGCGTGTACGGCAGGCCGGCAGGCCGAACTGCACCCTGTAGGCTGTGCCATGCCCTGTGCGTGTACGACAGGCCGTACTGTGCCCTGTAGGCTGTGCCATGCCCTGTCTGTACGGCAGGCCATACTGCGCCCTGTAGGCTGTGCCCTGCCCTGTCTGTACAGCAGGCCGTACTGTGCCCTGTAGGCTGTACTGTGCCCTGTGCGTGTACGGCAGGCCGTACTACGCCCTGTAGGCTGTGCCCTGCCCTGTCTGTACAGCAGGCCGTACCGCGCCATCTGTGCACAGCCGGTAGAAAGCTGTGCTGCAGTAAGGTGGCTCCAGCCAACTCACAGAGCCAGGGCACTGCTGTTGCATTCCGTTCTGCAGCTCTGGGGACTCATCCCCGGGCCTCATGAGAGTTAGGCAACCACTCTACCCCCAGTCAGGACACAGCCGTCTGCCGCTCTCCCCACCCTCATCCCTGGAAACCACTGGCCTGTTTCGAGACCATGGCGCCTGCCATTTCGACAGGGCCCCTGTGGAGCACCACATGGTCATGTGTGCCCAGGGCAGCCCTTTGTCTTGCTGAGTGACAGTCTCTGACGTGGGTGACCCCTCCACATTTGTTGGGGAGTATTGGGATCTGTGCGTTTTGCTGATTGCTGAGCACCCAGCCTCAGCTACAGAGTGAGGCCCTGCCTTTTTTATTTTTCCTGTGGCCAGGCTGCCCGCTGCTCTGGTGTGGGCACAGGTGTGCACCCAGCCTGAGGGCCAGTTTTGAAGGCCACAGTGGGGCTCAGCTGGTCATCTCCCTGCTGCTGTTAGCCTTGGCCGCTGGCTGGCGGTGTTCTTTCTCACCTCTGGGAGAAAGGGCATGCTCCCACCAGCCAGGGGGACCTGGGCAGGTAGGCCTGCAGGGAAGCTGCTTTCTCTGGCCCCCTTACTCCCAGGGTGGACCTGCGGGCCAGGGCTCAGGCCACTGGACACCTGGATCCTGAGGATCAGGATGCCTGCCACTCTGCCGTGTTCTCATTGACATTTGCCAACTCTGTGGCAAGCCCACCAGCCTGGGGGAGGAAGGGCTGCTCTCCCAGCATGGCAAAGCCACTTACCAGCCCTTCCTGTCCATCAGTTGTCCCGAGGAGCCAGGCATCCCCGAGCCATCTATAGTACCCAGTCTGCACGGAGGGTGTGGCTTCCTGCTAGGGTGACACCCGAGGCCTGTCACCCCAGGTTTCTGAGGGACGTCCCTTCTTCCCATCACCTGAGTGAGGGCTCACAGGGCTTGCAGCAGGGTTCACTGAAGATGGGCAAGGTCCGAGAGTAGCAGCCTCTCAGCTGTGGAAGCGCAGGGCTGGCCATGCTCCTGGGGATGGCGCCTTAGCTGTGCCCTGTGCTTCAGCGTAGTGAGGCTGTGGTGGCTCCAGGTGAGCTCAGATGCTTTCACAGCCTCAAAGAAACCCTCAGCCCTCGGCTGCCACCCCATGCTGTCTTCCCCCCTTAGCCCAAAGCACCCACTGACCTGTTGCAGTACTTTCCCTTGTGGTGTGGGTGTAAGGCACCCCCAGAGGCCTCGGGGAGGGCTCGGGGCTGAAAGGCACCAACGAGCACAAAGGTGGCCTGAGTTTGAGCCCCTGAAACTCTTGAGTTGTCCCCTACTGCACATACACTGTGGCACAGGCAAAGTGTGCACGCACGCACGCACGCACGCACGCGCACGCACACACACACACACACACACACACACCTAAGTGTGGGGTTTTTAAGCATTAAAAGCTTAAAATGTCCTTTACAGGCTCATGTGCTTGAGTACTTGGCCCTAACTGGTGGCACTACTCTGGAAGGCTGTGTGACCTCAGGGGTGGCATGGATCACTGTGC